CAAAAACCCCAGGGTTCTAAATTTCCAGAGATAATGTTTCCTATAGTCCAGGTCCCACTTCACCCGGAACACTGATTGTTCTCAGTGCCTCTCTGAGGAGGGACACTGCCAAGCTGGGGCATACCCAGAAGATGGTGAAATCATATACTGCCACACGCTTGTCTGAAACAAACAAACAATGGATGCTAGCTTGGAGAATGGCAAAGTGGGTGTTCTCAAATTGATTCAGTCAAAAATTGAGTGAATGCTTACACATGTCAGGCGCGGTGCTCAACAGACAGAGGATGGCATGGTGACGAGCACTGGTGAGGGGGTCTCCTTTACGTGGACAGTGCAGCCTGGGTTAACAATCATGATAAAATGTGGCATGAGCTACTTTAGGTGATGAACAGGGCTGTGAGAATGCAGAGAAGGGGCAACTAAAATAACTGGGGGTGAGGACAGGTGAAAGAGACTTCCCTGAGACCTAAAGGATGAGGAGGAAGTAACCAGGGGACCTGAAGCAGGGAGGGAAAGAGGGGAAAAGCATTCCAAAGAAGAAACAATCTATGTGTGAAGGTTTGGAAGAGAGAGGGGAGGACACAGCTATTTCCAGAATCAATACAGCAGAAGCACAGTGTGTTTCACAGGGAAGAGTTGGAAGAACTAATGCTAAAGGAGTACATGATGGTTGCCTAGTAACTTGAAAGGGTCTCCTACGGAGGTTGATAGACCTAGTAAGTATTACTTTAGACAGAGACACTACTGGATAGAAAACATAGCAGGCCAATTTTGGAGCAACATGATGAAACTGAAAAACAGAGTAGCCTCTGTTGATGCTGAATCCCTCGTTAACAGAGATGTTCAAGAAGTTTTAGAGCCTCTGACATTAACACGTTAGAGAGGAGCCTAGACTATTTGACATCTGAGGATTTTTATTGCTCTATGACTCTTTATGATCTCACTTGACTACACTTAATTAACTAATACACTACAATATGTACAATAGTTATAAAAATTGGAGTGATCCTTTATTGTCATCAAAATGTCGTAAGTAAAAGCAGTATTTAGTATCTTGTAATCTTTATCACAAGATAAAGAACACAGAATAGTGTTCTTTTAAAGTAATATAAACAAAAATTCATCAATCATTCATTGAAGTAATATAGACTGAACACCTTCCATACATCAGGTACTATGCTAGGTACAAACACAACAGTGAGCAAAACCAGGCACAGAGCATGTGGTGCTTACAATCTAGTGGAAGACTGGTACTAATGACGGACTCACAATCAGAGGTTTCCTTAGGAAGTGATGACTGAGTTGATATCCAAAGGAAGAACAGATATAAAAGAGGGATGTGGGGACAGAACAGGTAAGGGAAGTGTGTCCGCAGCACAAGAATGAGCATATGTACGAAGTGAGGCTAGAAACAGACAGGGTGCAGGACCACGATGAGAGGTTAACTCTTTATCCAAAGAGCAATA